TCCACTCATTATCCACTTGTCTCTGAGAAACAAGATAATCTTTGAGAGAAAAAGTTGTCAAGANATAAAAATAGCAACAAAAGATGCAAATGGATTCAAAGACAATATGAAATAAAACACAACAGGTTCTAACAATAAAATTATTATTCATTTAGAAAATATAGGAAGTGACAAAGTTATTATTTAAGATAAAACAGACGTAATAAGAGAAATCAATATAGACAACAATGGCTAGTTTTTTTCTTTTATAAAAAATTTAATGTATGAACATTGTAATGATAGACTAATTTCTTAAGTGTGGTAATTGTGAATGATAATGTCTATCAATGCAAAAATATTGGTATTCCAACAAACTTCAGTGTGCTGCATAAATTTAAATGGCAAATGGAAACACAGAAGGTTTGTTTACATTGATGTTAAATAAGGTCTTATGTGTAAGCTATAAATTTATATAATAAAAAAAAAAAACCATTAGTGAATGAAAATTACATTTATTCCCCACCTGATAGAATCAGATGTATGGTTTATAAAGAAAATTTAGTAATTCAATTCCATTCTATTTTTTTTTTTTTTTGTAATAAAGTGCACTGTTGATTTACAAGACATTAAAAAAATTGGGAAATTCCCGCACTTCATTTTGTTAAAAGGTCCCCACGTGAGATTCTGTGCTACTGAACTTATGCTTATATATGAGACTATTAAAATTATTAGTTCAAAGCAGATGGTTTGTGACTTTTAAGATATTATTAAGGTTATTTTGGTTTTTACTTAATCAGTTATTAATTTTTCCAGATATGTATCACTAAATTTTTTCTAAATATAAACATCTAAAACCCAATAGATTAAAGCCAAACAATAATATAGTAATATAGTCCAATATAATCCAGCAATTGTTTGCTGGATTATATTACTATATATTAAACTTTTTTTTTATTAAGAATTGCACTGAAATCATTTCTTTGTTGTGAATTAAATTCCAGTCCTAAATTATGCCTAATGAAATTAAAAAAAAGCACTGCTCAAAAAAGATTTTCTCTCTAGAATCAAAGATAAGTTTTAGATCATCTTTAAAAAAAGAGAAAAGACACATTCTGCAAAAAATTTAAATTTAAATGAAGCAATAATCCAGATCATTAGAACTTTTATTGTGTAGGATTTCCTATTTCTGTAAATTTGACAAATTCTTGTTAGCTTTTGAATATAATCCCTTCTCAAAATAAAATGATCAAAAATAACATGATATCTTTCCACATACAAAGTGGTCCTCTACTTTCGTATCTAATTGGTTCCCGAAATGTGTATGAAAGTTGAAATGCACAAAAATAGAGCAATGTAAAAAAAACATCAAAAAAGAGTTTTCAAAATATTTATTTTTTTATTGATTAGTATCTGGTGTTTTCTTTATAAATTTGTCAAGAGATAATTGAATTTTACTCTTCTTTTTCTTTTCTTGATAAAGAGTTCTATAATATACTGTTTCTTTTTCTATTACCATTCATACATGAGATACACACTCTCCTTTGGGATCACATTCTTCCATGATGGTCAAAAATTTGTCAAGATGCATGAAGACTAACTCAAGATGTCCTTGCTCAAGAGTGAACCTATGATGCCGAAAATTGACATGATTAATGTCGGAGAGGCGGGGAGGGACTAGTGACTAACAGTTCAAGAGAAAGGGAAAATCATTACATGAAAGTGCATTTTGCCATATATATGGATAAAATTTGAAGTACGAAATGTGTGCAAAATAGTATATTGAACAAAAGTAGAGGATTGCCTTAGTCAATACACATTGTGGTACATGAAAATCTCACAAGCATTTTCAGTCATTCTAAATTCTTAAAACACAGACTGTCTTTCTACCCTGTTTGTGTTAATTAGAATTTTTGCCATCAGCAGACATTGATTTGAGTGGAATCGCAAATAGTAAATTTGAATAGATATTTTTAAAACAATTAATTATAAACTGATTTTTGACATGTCTATAAAAATGTTTTGAGTTATTAATATCAAATTTAAGTTACCCTATAAATAGTCAAACTTAGGTTGTAGAATTTATTGCTTTTGAATAAAAAAAAACAAGATGGAAAAAACAGTATAGACTTTTTCAGAGTCAAATTTATTCCTAGAGTGGTCTTAAAATTATTTCATAAAACTAGCAATAAAAAAAAAACCTGTTAAAAGATATTATAAAAACTAATCTGAATGTAGGTCTAAAGCAGAAATAATACTGGTAATAAGAAGATATCAAAGACAATATCCAAAAATGATAATTTCAATTGAAAAAGATTCCATCTGAAAAAAATCTGAGTTAATAAAACAAAAACTTCATTTAGAAAATATTTTACAAAGTCTATACATGAAAACATAGATAGCTTATGATATCAATGTATATACAATAGATTAAAACACTAGAGCACAAGAAATATTTCCTCTAGAAAAAAAAATTAGCATTAAAAAAGTATGTATTTCATACCGTGTGTGTCACAAAAATGTAGATGATTAATTAATTTAAATCGATTGTTGAAGAAGAAAAAAATATTTACAGCAATTGAAAAAAAAAGTGCTTTTGCTTCAGATAACAACAAAAAATATATTATACGAGGGCTGTTCGGAAAGTTCGCGGCCTTGCCTATATGCGGCGCTGCGATCAATTTAATTTTTGGCGGGAATAATTCAGCCATCTTTGCTAAAGATACGATACCAATTTCCGCTTGATTTGTCAAAAAGTTTTGCCACGACAGCTTAGCAGATAGTCAGTGTGCACATGCTTTGTCGAAAATGGAGAAGACGGAGACTCGTGCGGTCATAAAATACCTGACGAAAAAAGGGTTGACCCCATCTCAAATCAAAGCTGACATGGATGAAGTTTTAGGAGAGTCTGCTCCTTCGTACACCACTGTGAAAAAATGGACAGCCCTTTTTAAATCTGGCAGAGAAAGTGTGGAAGATGACCCTCGCAGCGGACGGCCGTCAACTGCTGTCACTGAAGAAAACATCGACAAAGTTCACGATTTGGTATTAGCAGATCGCCGTTTGAAAACGCGTGAGATAGCTGAGACAACAGGCATCTCTGTCGACCGAGTGCACCACATCCTAACCGAAGATTTGGGTATGACGAAGGTCTCAGCAAGGTGGGTGCCGCATCTGCTGACCGCCGAGCAAAAACGTGTTCGCACTTTGATGTCAAAGGAGTGTTTGGACTTCTACCAGAAAAACCCACAGGATTTCTTGCGTCGGTTTGTGACTACTGACGAAACGTGGATCCATTACTACACTCCTGAAACAAAAGAACAGTCGAAGCAATGGAAACACCACAGTTCGCCACCACCAAAGAAGGCAAAGACAGTTCCATCAGCGGGTAAAGTGATGGCCTCGGTTTTTTGGGATGCTAAAGGCATCATCTTTATTGACTACCTAGAAAGAGGAAAGACCATTAATGCTGTCTATTACTGTGAACTTTTGGAAAAACTGAAGAAAGAAATCGAAGAAAAGAGGCCACACTTGAAGAAGAAAAAAGTTCTGTTCCACCACGATAATGCACCTGCACATTCCGCCAGAATCACTGAACAAAAGATAAACGAACTTCGCTTCCAATTAGTTCCACATCCACCGTACTCACCTGATTTGGCCCCCAGTGACTTCCACCTTTTTCCAAACCTAAAAAAATTCTTGGCTGGAAAGAGATTCCACTCAAATGATGAAGTCATCTCTGAAGTGAACGAGTATTTTGCATACCTTGACAAATCGACCTATTGTGATGGCATAAAAAAGCTAGAACATTGCTGGAATAAGCACATTGCTAACAGAGGAGATTACATTGAAAAATAAAAAAAGTTTTAACATTATTTTGTTTGTTTTTCTATGTGAGGCCGCGAACTTTCCGAACAGCCCTCGTAGAGCAAATCAAAAACATTTTTAAAATCCAAATTTAACTTTGAAGCTTAATTAATGTGCCTTAACAGTGATGAAATTTGAATAATACATTTACATGGTGGCCCAAAAGTCACAGCACCATTTGAAAAAAAATTCAAATCAATTTTCATTAAAAAAATTTTTTTTTTGTTTCTGGTTTCAAATATTAACATTACAATCTTTGGAAATTTGTTATGGAGAAATATAGCACAGCCCCTACAAACCAAAACTGTAGAATTTTATTTTGAAAATGGACAGTCACACACAAAGAGCATACAGAAGCCATTATCAAGTAAGGAACCAGCTCTCTAAATTGGCAATTATTGGCAAATATATAAAACAGCTACCATATTTGATATTTGCAAGACTAATTTATTTGTTTCCAATAACAGGGCTCTGTGTTCAACTTGCCACAAATTTGGAGATCATGTTCCATGCAAACTCCAGAAAACATGTTGAACAAAGCATTCAACAAAATATATCCACTAGATGATGTTTCTATGAGCTTGATATTCTCAGAACATCCTTACAGTAAATTCAAAAGGATTTGCACATGTACCCATACAAAGTGCAATTAGTGTAAGAAATAAAGCCAATAGATGATAGAATTATGTTGTTTGTTTTCAAAATATGGCAAGAGACCACAATGAATTTCTTCATACCTGTGAGGCTACCAAATAATTGTGTGTACAAACTCTACAGTATACATTAACAAACTCTGCAATACCCTGAAAGAAAACACTCAAACAGAAATTTGTGCACTGGGAGCTGACATGTTGATCCATGTCATAGAAAATGCACTTAAAAGAGGATGCACTTGTGAGGCATCAAATAGAGGTCATTTGCTTTATATCAGGATTAGACAAAAAATTCCAAATTTTATATTTCAATTTACAGAAGCATTCTTTCAAAAATAAATAAATATAAAAAAAGTTATACAGTTTTTAAATGGTAGCATGATTTTTAGACTGTCCTGTATTAACAGCAGGTACAGTATAAAGATGCCCTTCTCCTTGCCTGGCAATATCGTCTTAGTCTTTTGCATCAATTGTCACATTTGTAACCATCTCCCCATTATTTACTCTACTCATGTCTATCTCATCTTCCTTCCTACAAACATTGGCAATTCCATGCCTAAGGATAACTGCTAACCACACTAGAAATGTTTGCATTATTCAAAATAATTATAATTAAAACTATCATGCGGTCGTGTAACTGACAATATGACCACACGATAAGAGGGAGCTGTGGGTTCAAGTCCTGCTTTGAGTCAATTCTTTTCTTCCAGAACCTTCTAGCATTACTCAAATTAATTAAAGGCACATTAATTAAGTTGAGTAACAACGGTGGCTAAATCACCCCTTTTAATTTTAAACTATATAAATTAAAGGTAAAAAAAAAGGTAATATTAAAATATAAATTTAATATTATATTTTAGCAAATTTGTATTCTAAAATCAATTTTTTAATAACTTAAGATGAATCTGCCAATAATATATATAGCAATATTCTCCATAGTATTCAATATTTTACCTGAAGGATTAATTTGAGTTGTTGTTTGTTGTTGTACTTGAGATTGTCGTTGAATGACAGACTGTTGTGTAACAACATTTCCAGAATTCAGAACAGGATCCGAATCCCTTTGTTCAAATGCTTTTGACTCAATTAACTTCTTTTCCCATACCTATAAAAAGTATTTTAAAATATGTTAAAAATAATAAATACTATGAAGTTTTGTAAGTTTTGAAACTGAACAAGGTCTAAATAAATGTATCTCAAAATTGTCTAAAAAAAATCACAATAAAATATTGAAGAACTTCAGTATCAGAAACACTTGCTGATGAAAGAATAGAAGATAGAGATTCCATAGCATGTATAATCTTTTTAGTAAAAGCCCGGAAGTTTTAGTACTTGGTTATATCACACCTTTTCTTCATCTCTCGACAAGCGCAGTATAACAAGGGGCTACTGTATTACTTAGCTGTTAATTTATATATTTCTAAATGCACTTTTCCTACAAAATATTATTAAATAATTCAAATTTTCTTATTTTACATTTACTCACAACTGTAAACAAAATAATCTAATATTTGATGATACTTATAGTTTTATAAATTTATAATTTTATGTGTTCTATGACATTTCTCTGTCAATTTATTTATTTATTGGTATGTTTGAACTAGTTTCAAATGCAAAGATTGAGAATTTTGAATTAAAAAATCCAGTGATGAGTTGCATAACTTTCCCAGCAAACAAATTTAAAACAGTTCATGGCACCATCTGTTATGAGATTTTACTAAAAAACTTTTTACATTATTAATTATTATAAAATGGCAAAACCTTAATTTTGAGGGTAGAGATGAGTTTTATAAAAAATTTTAAATGCTAATAAGTAAAACCCTCTTTAAGTCCAACCCTACTCAAGATAGGACACACAAACTCCTTTGACCTTTAACCACAAAAATTTAATAGCATCAATACCCTTTATACACAAGATACCATGCCAAATTTTATTTCTTAATCATTACGCCATCCTGAGATATTAAACAAAATAGATGCCAACACAATTTTTTTCCTCTTTTTTGATTTTTTTGTGATCATGGGGTCTCAAAATTTTGAGATTTGCAAAACAACCAGTGGATCAAATTTAACACAATTCCAATACAGTATTTCCCATGTTATATATATATATATATATATATATATATGTATGTATGTATGTATAACAAGCTGGGAAAGTAAAACAAACTCATTTCCCAGGGAAAAAATAGCATCCAAGTTTAGTTGTAAGGGTTTGAACAATGTTCAAATCATAAAAGAATAAAAATAATAAGTGAAAATTCTGTGTATGGAGATATTTAGAGTCTAAATGAAATGAAATCTGGTATTTTGACATTTCAGGATATATGGAAGACATTTCAAAAAAATTAATAATAAAACTCACCACAGTAACACTTTGGCACTGCAAGCAACAAATATTTTATTTAGACAAAACACTCATGTACAAAGACCTTAGTAATGCAGAGGACACTACTCAATGTGGACCCCATTTTGAAGATGTAAAAATCCAAAGGCAACAAAAAGTGTGTTCAATGGCCAACCATAATTAATTCTGTTGCGGCAGTTGGCAACATGGTGCTTGACCACTGTCGCTCATTTTGTCATGCGCTCTGACCATTGTTCGTGGTCAACATGATTGTAACTTTTGTATATATTCCGTAAAATAAATTCCTGACAACTACTGGTGGATTCCATCATCTGTCCTGAGATCATTTATTGAAACTCTACGCTGATGCTACTCGTGGATGCAACCAGATAATCAAAACAACCGATTCTTCCTCAAGAGGTGCGCCTTAGTGGCCCCCTCACTGTGATGCTTCTCAGCTGCAATGTGATACTGTCTTTCAAGGCTATCAAATTTAATCAAGGCTTGATAAACGACCCTTCTTAAACATCCCATTATATGGATTATCCATACCAAAAGTGCCAAAGTGGTTAGTTTTGATAGTATTTTTTTACAGATGTCTTTCACAAGTTTTAAAATGTTATCATACCAGAGTTGATAGCATTTGGATTGCTAAATATTTCTCTAGCATTGAATAGAAATCATTCCATACTGTAAATCAATTTTTCTACATTATGAAAATGGAATTGCTACATACTACACATTTTATCACTTTATATTATTTCTGATAAGTTTTTTCTTATTGTATTTAAATTGACAGGCAATATATACTAGATATAATGTTTTATAATTCTAAACATTTCCACTATTATAATTATTTTCTAATTGTCAATTCTTTAATTGTGTGTATTTAGATTTTCTGAATTTCAAATTCAAGGGACAATAGTAATTTAAAAGAAAATCTTTGCATTCTATCTCAAGCATGATATTATGTTATAGATGTAAACAGAGTTCCATACAAATCCAAGATTATTTACATTTTAAATAATGAAGACTATAAATATGAGTTGCAATCTTTTTTAAAATCCTTTTTAATTATAATCAGCTAATGATTGAAGATAAAACACTAAAAATCTTCATAAAAAAAAATCAATGATTCACCATTAAAAACAATATACAGACATACATATTAAAACTGCAGCTCATTTGTAATGTCTTAATTATTTAAAATGTAAACATTAATAACAGATATAAAAGTGTAACCTGTCAGTTATGTTTTTATATCTGATATTCAGTATTATTTATTACCAGATCAGTCAAATGAAAACCTTAAAATGTGTGTAAAAATTCTAAAATTTTGTGTATTTTTATTTTTCAAACTGACAACATGCTGAAGGACATCTGAAAAGTGGATACTAGGAATCATTATTCATATGGCCATCTCACTAAAATCATTTTGCAGGGAACACCATTCTCTTATCATATTCCTTAGTAGTGATGGGGTGAAAACAGCAGAAATCCATTGTAAAATGAAGGCTCAGTATGGGAGTGCATGCACATATCTTCAGCAAGTGCAGTCCAGTGGCATAGAAAGTTTGAAGATGGCATGACTTCTGTGAATAATGATCAGGAACCAAGAGAGGGTCACTGAATTGTGACACCATAGTCAATAGCTGAATTATTTAACATCAGTATAGTTCAGAACCCCATATCATCCTTGTTGAATATAATGGGATTCTTCTATAACAATACAATGCAAAAACTATATGTTGCTCATTTGACAGTTGCATTAATGGTAAAACTGGACATGGAGTGTTTTAGAAACTCAACACTCACCAAACTTCACCTCAAGTGATCACCACTTTTTTTTACATTATTTAAAGGTGTACTGAGTTGCAGAAGGAAGTTTATGAGTAGCTCTACAAGCAATCAAAATAATTCTATTTCAAAAGAATCCATGAACTTTGTAACCAATGGAGGGTATACATTGCAAGAAATAAAAACTGTATTGTAGATTAGTATAAATGTATGATGTTTATAATCAATACATTGTAATTTATTTACAAATTAAGGTTTGCATTTGACTCTTCCTTGTATATTGATTTTAATTTGTGTAATATTTAAAAGTAAAGAAAAAACACTTAAAAAAGTAAAAAATTATTTAAAGCTGACTATGTATTCAGAGTTCTTTAATAATTTATCATCATCATCATCTCTATTAATGAGATCATTATATATTTTTATGTGAATACAGTTGTCCATACTTGTCTGATTTGTGCCATATATCAAGTGTCAAAATGTGTGGAGTTCTCATAAGATTTGATGATTTTGTAGCACTATGCAACTATGTATTATTATTATATTTTTTTTTGTCTCAGGTTCCTTTTTGTATGTATCAGGTTTTCTTAATTTGTACGATGTCGCATGTATTTTTGTGTTATGATGTCACCTCTTAGGTACCACGGGAAAAGCCTTCCGATTGGTCCAAGGTGGGACACGTGAGTAAAGTGGATTTCCGGAGAGCGGGAGGTATAAATTAATGAACTCTCATGATTGAGGGAATTCTGGTTTTTGGATCCGTTGAGGATAATACGAAGGTTCAAGGCCAGGCTGGGAAAAAGGAGTGAGAAAGGAAGACCATTTCCAGTTCAAGAGTCCAATCCGTTTCCATCTTAAGGAAATTTAGAGATAACATCAAGGGACATACATTTTGTAACAAGATAACAAAATAATAATCAGTTTTTGAGAAACATGAAAAACTAATTATATCTTTCCAAGACTTAAATCTCATCAAATACTTTTTCCTACTTTCTTGGCATTACACATAATAGAAAAAATACATGTTCCCAAGTTTCATACACTTGCATGTTACAATTACTACAAATTCTATCAGGATCTATTTTTAGTGTATTATACGTTGAAATATAATTTTGACCACATCTTAGTTGAAGAATTAACCATTTTTCATAATAATTTATGTCCATAAACAAATAATCTTCACATACAAAAGTTGTTTTAATACTACAGTATAATTGAAAATGCTTATTCTTTTCCAGTAGAGACCAATCTTCTTGTATGCATTGTTCGCAACACACTTTCAGAATTAACATTTGATAGCTTTCAATCAAATGAGGATCTTGAGACAACTATAAAAAGGAGAAATCATGTTGATCTAACAGATTTTTCAGTGCATTGTCCAACTTTATGTATAATTGTCCATTTTTTAACTTAATTTATAGAGTTTGTTATATGCTTATTTAACATAACTTTTATCCTCCAATTTCAAAAGTCTAATCTAAAATGAAATTATTTCTTTAATTACAATTGTCAATATTCTAGAAATGCCAAACTCCAAACACAACATATAAACTGGAATTTTACTATATGGCATAAATATTTTTCTAAAATATAAACCAATAACAGGTTCCATTTTATCATAATAAGTAATTGCCCATACAGGAGCAGCATAAAGTAATGCAGACAAAATCATTGATTAAAATAATTTTATATAAATATGAGCAGAATTAATTTTAGCTCTTGAAAGAATCAGTCACATAGAACCCAGTGCTGTTTTAGGCTTAGGTATACTATAATTTTTGGCTTATAAGATTTGCCCAGAAAAAAAATAAAAATTCCCAGATTTATGTAATTTGGGACAACTTATAAAGGTTGGTTGTTAAGAAACCATCTCTCTCTGGGTGATAGTTTACTGCCTTTTTTAAATACCATTACCTTAGTTTTTAAAATGTTTATAAATAATACATAGTCACTACAAAATTGCTCTAAAATTGCAATTTTCTTTTGAAACATTTGTGGAATATCAGCAAGAATTACAGTATTGTCTGCATATATTAGCATACGTATCTCCACTTGATCAGAGAGAGAACCTGCTTGCTCCTGACACAAAATATCATATGTAAGGATCCAGTTTCTAGTCTTTCATTTAAGAAAGACGTAAACAGTTTCCCAGTTACAGGAACCAAAGATATAAGACAATAATTTTTGAGATTATACACATTGCCTTTTTTGCATATTGGAATAATCAAAGATTCAATCCATGATTTTGAAAAACTAGAATTTCTTTTAATAGAGTTAAAGATTTCCACAATTGTAGAAAGAAACTTTTCTGAAAGACACTTTAAATATTCTGTTCTAATAAAATCAATTCCAGGTGAGATACCAACTTTAAAACGATTAATTGTTCCTTTTATTTTCTCCAATGTAAAATCTGTAAAACATTCTGACTCTATTGGAAACACTTTATACACATTCATTGACAATTGTTCATCATTAATAATTAAAGAATGTTCTTTAGAGAATTTAGCAGAATAAAAATTGAACCATCTTTCCAAAGTAAATCTTAAGTTATAGCTCATGCACTTTTATGTTTAAAACTATTAATTGCTTGCCAAAATATTTTAGAACTATTAAATAACACCAATCTCCTATTTTTAAATTCCAAAAGTAAGACTGTTTTTTCTTTTGACATAATACTTTATACTCTTTCAAATTGTTTTTATAGAAAGCATAATGTTCTACTGTATTTAACTTTTTTGCCTTTTTAAACAATTTCCACAAATTTTTTTCTCATGGTGTAACATTCACTATCATACCACACATTTCTTATATGGCTTTTATGAGAAACAGATTTAACATCATGAATTAAGTCTAGGGACATTGTTGCTTTAACTATACAATTCACTGATCATTAGATGTGAAGTTTCCTCCATATTCTTCTGATAAAAAGTTATCTAATGTGACAGTAAATGAAGATTTAAATTCGTTTCTCCATATTGAATGTTAACCAAACCTCTGGATGATATCAAGGGGATTATTGATAGTAAGACAGGTGAGTGATCAGAACCTATCTCTGATAAAACACAAAAGTCATTTATAATGAGAAAATATTTCTTGTGACACTAACACAAAATCAATTACACTGCCTCCATTAGTTGTATGGTAAGTAAAATTACCTTCTTCATCCCCTGGCAATAAACCATTTAAGCAAACAAGATTATTATCCTCACAAAAATGGTAGAGAATTTTCCTTCTATCATTGCCAATGAAATCTTTTGTAGTTCTGAAAGCAATTTGCTGGTCACCAGTGAAACATGACAAATAATCAGAATATTCCACTCTAGCATTAAAATCTGTACATAAGATCAAGTTATTTCCATGTAGTGAGTAGTTTTCTATAAGCAACAAAATATTCTTGAAATCATCATCATAATTATTGTTAGGTGGAATTTATGACACTATTAGCTGGATATTAATTAAGTCTTCAGTATCTAGTTGTAAAATCAGCACAAATCATGATTGAAATATCAGTTTAACTTCAGAGACTGTGTCTAATCTACGACCAACAATTAATCTGCAACTGGGTCTTTCAGGACCCTCACAGCTATATGCTACCTGATGATAAATTTTATAATCATTAGAAAACATTGAATCAATTGCAAGAGATGTATGCCATATTTCTACCAGACAGAACACATCTCTTCTATATATCAGATTCCAGAAGTTAGGAAAGCAATGTTTATTATTTAAACTTGCGATATTATAAAATAAAAGTTTCATATTATCAATATTATCCAAGTACAGAACTTTATATTCATCATCCTTGTCCTTTATATCATCATACTGTTTATCATTGTAAACTATATTGCTAAAAAAAGATTTTCGCCATCTGTCTGGATAATTTTACTTTTGTAATTACACACAAATGTCTTATTGCCTATGATTAATCTGTTACATTGCAATTTAACATTCATAGCTCCTTTTGAACACATTTGTCTACCACAGAGCCTTAATTTGTTTGATAGTTCTTGTACTCGTTGAGTAGTCATCATTAATGAATATATTTAAACCTTTTAAATTATTAACATTTTTATATACTTTTAATTTATCTTCAAAACTGATCAACTCACAAATAATTAATCTTTTTCCATTTGGTTTAAATTTTCCAATTCTAGAAGCATGCTTAATGTTAACACCTGTAACCTTGTTATTGTTAAAAAGTTTCTGAACCTTAAATAAGCTATCATCCATTTTATTGTTATCCTCTATACCTGAGATTACAGTATTATTTTTTCTTTCTTTATCTTCTAACCTCATTAACTTTTCATGCAAATTATTACATATTGCATAAATTTCCATAACTGATTTATCACTTTTAACATAACCTTTTTCTCTATCAGTTTCAAGGACAGAGCCTGGATTCAAGATCTACCAAAGCAGTGTCTCTATTTTCAATCCACGTTTGCATTCTATCTAAATGCTCTAAAAGAATTTGTAATTTACTATTTGAAGAAGCTTGTAATTTCAACAACAGTCGAATTTCTTCTTAAACAATAACCTCCTTTTCAGCACTTATATAAGACAAGATCAGCTGTTCCATTGACTCACCTGAAACACTCTTCACTTCCCATTCATTTTCTTACATTTCGTGGAAATTCATCTTGAGATAACAACAAAAATGTTTTCCTTTTCTGAGATGAAAATTCTGTCTTTTTTCAAGAAAAAGACAAAAATGAGTCAAATCACAAGAGAGCAAAATATTCAAGCCAAGTCTCAACAGTCAGAAGTGCCCCATTACAGTCAAATATCAAGAATAAAAAATTAAACAAATAATAAATAATGTAACAAATTATATTTGTTATATTATTATTTGTTTAACTTTTAATTTAATAAATTTATAATTAGGAAAAAAAAGTCTTTTTCTTTGTGAACTTTACAAGTTTCACAGATAAAACGATTCTAACAGCATTATTTGTGGCAAAAATTAATAGTAACCACTGCATTTAATTTAATTAAAAAAAAAAAAAAGGATTTACAAAATGATAAAAAAGATCAAAATGCAAAAAGTATATCTTCCTATGTTTCAATTTTCTTTGAGTTTTTATAGCAGCTATTTTGGAATGCAATTTTTTTTATTTTACTACTGTAATGTAAATTTTATACAGTTTCTGAATAAGAGGACTAACAAAATTAAAACAAGAATATATTTAGAAAATTTATAATTAGATTGTTTTTGATACATAACTTTTTAATTAAATATATAAAAGCACTAAAATATATGAATGCTAAATTTAATATTAAATTATTTTGAATATAGTTGTAATGTGACACAATTTCACAATGACAGTGTCCTAAAAAATCATTGCAAGAATATTGAGAGAATGCCTACCTCAAATTGCACTAATATAATACAATATTCCTAACATTTTCAAATCTACAAAATAATCTTAAAACTATGATTATTTTTAATTAAACTTTTAACATATTAAATTTTTAAATTTACAATATACATTATCATAACTTATTTACCAGACTAAAAAAATACCTCAAGCAAAACTTTATATAATTGCTTGTTAAAATATGCAATAATCTTTTGGTAAAATTTTAACCTACGCCAGGTGTCGCCGACGTCAGGAATCTGATATGGCACCAAGAAGAAGAAGAAAATTTTAAATATTTTTACTAACTTGTTTCAATTCAATAAGAACTTGTTCATCCACTCCGTCATCCAAAAATATTTCTCGTACATTAGCCACAACATCTTCAATGACACTGCGATATAACACTGGCTACAAAAAATTTATTTTATTAATTTCAATGTTAATTAATAAATTTTTTGAACAGAATTAGTATTTCAGAATACATATTGGTAATTGCTAATGAAATAATTTTATTACTTAAAGGTTATTTATAAAATTCACACAATACTGCAATTTATTTCAATTTTTCCATCATCATAATATCATTTTAGTTTTATACATTTAATTATCAATTGTTTTATACTATCACAAACAGATTTATACTTATGTAAAACATTTTTAACTTTAATTTATTTATGTAAAACTTTTCTAAGCATATTAGCAGATATGAATTAAAAGATCATACTAGATAATCAAGATTTCACTGTAAATGGAAGTTTGTACTTAGCTAATTTCCTATTTAATTTTATGAAATTCCACTATAAATCAACTAATTATACATCTTATTGCACCAAGCTCTTCATATGTAACATCCGATCATCTGCTATTATGTATATTAAAATTCATATAAATATTTTATCTTTTCATTCCAGAATCAACAGTGAATACAACAGCAAAAGTATAAAAGATAATCACAATGCATTGCGGAAGAAAATCTGATTTAATCAAAAAAGATAAGTTCTGTCCAAAAAATTGTTTTCACACTATATAGGTCATCACTGCAAAATGCAGTGTATAATCACAAATTTTTTCATACCTTCTAACAAATTGAATCTCATTCCTAAAGAGATTATAATGGTTTCGTTCTCTCAAATGTTACTTGAATAGTCCATACTTCTAAACAAAAGAAGCAGTTAAGGATATTTTTCAAATGTAATTTAGTAGGCTCAATAAATCTTATTTATAATACAAATATGAAGTGTCCAATTAATTCCAGGACACAACTATTCCTTTGCTTCTGCTGCATCAAGAACTCCACTAATATCATGGAATGTAGCATATACTAGGACTATCTATTGCAATAGCAGATTCAAAAGTACCCAAAGGGGACTAACTCAAAAATTAAAAATATCTAAACAAGCCAATAAACCATACAGTATTTATGTTGATGTTTGAACAAATAAGTTTTAATTTTTTATGTCAATGGGGAGGGCTTAATTAAGCCCCTGTAGATCAGCCACTGATCTGTTGGCCAGATTGTAAACTATATCAGAGCAATCAACATCATTGATGGACCACATATGTCAACACAGTTGATATTTGTTTGGAACAAAAACTTGTGATGAAATTTCCTGTTGCAAGAGCAGAAATTCATTGTTTAACTTTTATTTTAAAAACTTTATAATTAGGAAAAAAGTCTTGACTGCTCTTGGTAGTGTTCAAGAAAGACACTTTGTCATGATCAAAAAAGTTTGAGTAGTGCGTAAAGTTTTAGGATGGTAGAAAAATCAGTAACAGATGACCTGAGAACCAGAGTTCCTTGCTTGGCTATCTCACAAGGAGAGAGTCAGATGTTTGGGTCTCCAATTCAAACAAAATTTGGTGAGCGTGTAGCCCTTAACTTAAGCTCTTTGTCCAACTAATAGGATCCATTTCCCAACCATTTCCAAAAAACATGCCTCTAAAAATTGAGTGTTTAGCTTATAAGGCTTTGGAAATTTGCCATTGTTCAGACACTGTAACATCAACTGCCTTACTCTAAATTTCCAGGCTGATGTCTAATAACATTGCATACATTCTCAACTCACTCTTGTAGCTCTGTCACAATTGCAAATGGCACAAAGTAGACAACAGAGTTCAAATACCTCCAAAAATAAAAATCAAAGAAATTTAAATCAAGGGACCTAACTGGCAACTGAGTAGTCCATCTCTTCCTAATTTCCAATTAAGATATTATATCTCTTGCTACAATAATAAAATGAAGAGGTGCTCCATTATGCATGAACTAAACAATCATTCTTGATGCTAAGGGAACTTCTTCAACAATTAAGAAAAAAGTTTTCTATCAAATTCTTTTCTTCCAGAATATTCTAAATTATTTATAAAAATTAATTTACGTTGTCTTTGAAACCGTGTTTGATGAATTTATTCAATAATATAGCATTAATCATAAACAGCATAAATGAAGAAATACAGTTTACTGTAGAAGAGGAGAACAAAGCCACTACAAGTATAAATTATTTAGATGTTACAATAAAAAGGAGTAACAACAACTTGGAATTTAAATCTTATAAAAAGCCATGCTCTATAGATGTAACAATTAGATATGACTCTAACATTCCTTTATATAAAATATAATACCTTTAAAATGGAATATATAAAAATCATGACTAGAACTATATTAATGTCTATAAAAAGAACAAAAAAAGAAATTTGCTCTCGATGGTTATCTTAATAGTTTAGTCGATCGCTAGGAAAACAAGGTAAATAGTAACATGAATAACAAAAAATTAAAAAAATTAAATATGGATATAAAATATATCAGTTTTCCATATATAAAAGGATTATATGAAGATATCAACAAAGATTTACAAAAAATAAACATGAAACTAGCCCCAAAATATGAAAAACTAGAAAATAGATTAAGACTCATAAAAACTAAAAAAACAGACAATACAAAACAAGAAACAAAGAACATAGTGTATAAGATACCGTGTACCTGTAATACAGTTAATTTCTATATAGGAGAAACTAAACGCAAACTAAGTATACAATTAAAGGAACACATTGCTGATCTCAGATATCATAGACTAAACTCTGTTTTTCACAACCACTGTTTATTAAATGACTGTAGTATAGATAAAAATAATGTTCAATTTTTATACATAGAATAGAACATGTATAATAGAAAATTTAATGAAATTGTTTCAATTTTAACAACCAAAAACTATCAATAAAAATCTAAGTGTAAAAATAAATGAAAACTGGTTGAAAATATTATAAAACACGCAGTATATATTAATGTTGATTGTAGTTATCTGTAAAAGTTATACTGTTGTTACCACTCATAATATCTCTGTAATATGCAAATTAGTATAAAACTGCAATGCAGTAAGTGACGTGGATACAGTCAAAAGACAATAATGTAAAAAATCGCTCGTTTCTGAAATGTACATGTAATTGAGTTTATACTTCCTAGATATTGTAATACAGTAAGGTCTCGTTTTATGCGGATTATTTTTATGCGATTTTGAAGTTGTGCGGTTTGTATTTCATCCAAAAATTTCTTGGACAAACATACATATAGGCTTGTTTAGGAAGCCCGCGTATAGACAGTCTCCAAAAATCGTGGAACGCTCAAAGCTCACTCCATTTGTTCCACTGACATATGACGTTTATGGATGTAAAGGACAGCTAGATCTACCTTAATCGCTTTAGTTCCTAGCAATTTTTGATATAAATGTAATTAAACATAAAAAATACTTAAAACTGAAAAAAACGAAAGAAATGCGTTAATTTTGAAGAAAAAGCTTCAAAGTTTAACTTCCTTTGTCTCGCCCTTCTGTGAAATTTAACACCGATGAGTAATTGTTTACACATCTGGATGACCTGAACACAGCTGGAGTTGGATTTCCTGGGGCATTCTCATAGACGTCACGGGAGGACAAGGGTTTAAAGTAGGGTGAACACTAGCTGGCCGTATATTTTTAACTATTTTTTAAAATTTTGGAGACTTAAAAAACATTCCAAAAATTCAAAAAAAAAATATATTTCAAAAATGGCCTTAAGGACCGTGTTTTATGAAACGCTATGTAACCTGCCCGAGTTAACTCGGGCGAGGAACTAAAGTTTTAATTAACTCTTCACATCCAGATGTTAGTGATTTATTTTTAGAGTGAGCTTTTGCAATTCGGGGATTCCCCTTGTATTACTTTTCAATAAAATAAACTGAATTAAGTTTGAATACAAGTTTATTTTAAGCTTTTATATGAATTTCTTTCAGACATTCGAAGTAATTTATTAAGTAGCCTATTTCTTTTAATTTCTGCAAACTTTTTTATGCGGTTTTAAGTTAATTTTAACTCGTTGTTTTGGTTTTATGCGATTTTGGAAAATTACGGAACGTATCCTTACTTTTTCAAGGCAAGTAAAGTCTTTTTTTATGCAAATTTTTTTATATGCACTTTTCTGTAGAACGTATCCACCGCATAAAACGAGACCTTACTGTAGTTGGATACTGTGAAATAAGTAAAAGATCATATATAGCAAATTTTAATGTAAGGGGAACTACTCCACTTATTGTGAGATAAGTTCTATGTGTCGATTGAGTAAAGATCTTGTATGCATAATGGATTGAATATGGATATGGTAAGAACTATACCTTGTTTTAATTCACTTTTGTTAGATATTCAGTGTAATATTTTAAATATTGTATCATTTAGTTGACTGATGAAAAGCTTTATGCCTGAAACATGCAAATGGCACATATATCAACTAAATGGAGATGGAAATAAAGCCAAGTGTTTATTTAAAACTCAATTTTGAGTTTGAAGTCCAAAATTAATTTAGCCGACGTTCTGCATAGTTTTAGTACAGATTTATGATAGGAATTGGCAGAGGAGATCTACATAGGAACTAATAGGGCTTAAGTCCTGGGTCCCCAAGTGTCAAGGGCCCACAAAATTGAATTATCATCACAAATTTTTTATACATTTTCATTAACAATGAGCACTTATCATATAGTAAAAAAAGTTAATATTAATAATATAATAATGATGATAATTTATAGTATTATTTGTTTATTGTAATAATTCTTAATCTAACAAAAAATGAGGTCCCATTGGACTTCAATAAGCTCTAGGCCCCAAAAAACCTAGATCTACCCCTGGGAATTGGCAGGCAAAGTTATGAATTAATTTAAATATAATTATTAAATTTAATAAGAGTGAGCACCTAATGCTTGCCTCTAGTGACAAATTATTTAGAAAATAATTTAAAATATTTGCAGAGAAGTAGCTTGATTTAGTACAACAGTCATATTACTAATATACGCCTAGTAGGTGATTTAGCCTTATCGACAATGGGTCGTACAACCAGGTACATGTTTTACTCAAAGAGTATTACTAATATATCTGGTTTCATGATATTTG